AAAAAGCACAATTTAGGAGAAGGCTACAAAAAATGTCAGTCTCTGAATATCCCTCTTATCAACTCAATCATCAAGAATTGGATAGTGCCCAGACACCACCTTAATCATGTTCACCCTCCAAATTGAGCTCTTGGGCAAGGGATCAAAGTGGTGAGATGCCAGTGTGAGGCTAATGACAACTTTGACAGAGCCACAAAGTTCAATGGCTGAAATGGAAGAAATTGTGCAGATGTTAACAATATCCCAGTTACCCCACAAAGCTACAGAATGGCAGAGTGGAAAACCTAGTCTAAAAGCCTGCATGGAGTTTGCAATAGGGAACCTGAGTGATATTGCACAAATGAAGCCAAAGCTGCTGTGGTCAGGTGAGACCAACCTGGAAATGTTTGGTCTAAATGATAAATGATACATTTGGTACAGACCCCTCAAAGCACACCTCCCAACCAACAACATCCATAGAGTCAATCATGGTGGTACCAGTATCATGATATGAGGTTTTTTTCTTCTCAGCACTGGAACTGGAAAGCTTGTTAAAATGGAAGGAAAAATGGATAGTGCAAATAAAAGGCAAATACTAGAGGAAAACATATTTCAGTCTGCTTAAGTCTTACAACTGGGGAAAAATTATTACCATTCAGTGATCCAAAGCTACATTGGAGTGGCTTAAGAATGAGAAAGTGATAGTCCTTGAGTGGCCTAGTCAAAGTCCTGACTTGAATCTTACTGAGAATCTGGAAAGACTTGAACTTCATAACTGCTGTTCATATGTGATTCCCAAACAAGTTGAGAGAGCTTGAGCTAATCTGCCAAGAAGAATAAGCATTAATTGTATCAAGCTGGTGTGCAATGATAGTGGAGACTTTCCCAAAAAGACTTGTGGCTGTACTTGCTGCCAAAGGTTCTACCACCAAATATTGAGTTCACAAGTCTGAGACTTATGCAATGAACATCATTTTTTCTCATTATTTTTTGCTAACATTTACTGTAACTCTTCCCTTAGAAGTCTTCAGTTTCTCAAAATGGGACACAAAAGTAAGGGTCTGAATACTTTTGCAAGGCACTGTATGTGTACAGTTCCCAGCCTTATGTAGAAACCATAGCTGGCTGAAACAACCTGGTTTTGCTCCAAGTGTCTTAATCATTTCACAACTCTGATAGGTCCACCTTTGTTCTGCTCCAGCTGCTATTCGAAGATCATGATCACTCATACTGTAGGTTTTGAGAGTCCTGTACTGTCTAGGTTTCGCGGGTGTGATGTCACCTTCTGTAAAAGGCTCTTATATCTATAGCAGAGATCTATTGTATAGCAGAAGACAGCTCTGTCTTGTTGAAAATTATTTTCAAGAGGTGTGAAATTGTGGACATTTCTCATTATCAGATTTATGAAAAAAACATTCTTGAAGAAAAGACAAATGATTAGCAGATTTTTTTAGGGTGGATGCTTAATTGAGAAAGCTGTGGAAAGTAACATGTATTGCTTTCTTTATTTTAGAGGGAGGGAGTTGTCCTAGCCAGAGTCATTGTGTATGTTCTTGATTGCTGTGAGCTCTTTAGACAAGCTGCCCTACTGTATGTGTGCAAATTTTGTAAAATGATGAGAAGACCACCCAAGAAAGCATAATACAAATCATCTACTGTTTTTCTATGCTGGAACCAAAAATGTGAAAATTGGGAAAAAAAGAAGCCTTCATCCTTAACAACAGATTAAGGGAGATGTGCACTAATGTTCTTCCTAGTTCCTCCTACATATGTAATATAGCCCATAAAAGTGTAAAAGAGATGCCTTAATGCAATTCTAGTGAACATTAAGTTATATTGATATTAGCTTGTAACCTTTCATTCCTACTCCCACCCCATTCAACACACATTTCACATTTTAAATTGTCCTAAGATCCCATATAAGCAGACAAAAACATAGTTTATTAGTCTAAAGAATCCACCAAGGTTTTTCTTTTTAAAAGACAGTGTTAAATCAACGTTCACAGCATGGATTAGTGCCACACACCCATGTTTTGTGAATAAACTATCTCTAATTCTCAGGCTCGAATTTATCTATACCCAATTTCCAGTTATATCCTGCAGGGTAGCATTCCTGTCTGAGTCTAGAGTCCACAAATAATCCAACAGAATGAATTATAAGCTCTGAGCTGTGAGGGCTCCATGGATAAGAGGTGAATTAGCAGAGTAGCTCATGGGAATTCAAGGTTATGCCAGTGGAGGATTTGGAATTTGCCTCTCATGTCTCTTTGATCTAGTGCTCAAAACCTTACCTAAGCTCACTGGAGGTCCAGGAAAAGACCAAAAACCCTACAGTTCAAGTGCAGAACCAATTGGCCTGGAAGGTGGAGGCTGGACATATCCATTCCAGTAATATTGAGTAGTCTGTGTGCTTCATGAAAGCTGCACCAGTTTGTTGCCTAATACTGTATGTCTAATTTGAAGTCTAATATGTGACCATGTCCTCATAAGGGATTGTAGATACAGTATGTTCATGAGAGAGAGTTAAGAGCATGAAGAGGATAAGCAATACAGTAATCTAGAGCACAATAAAACTCTATGGTAGATACTGGTAAACCTTTTCTTGCTTTTCTGAATTTCCCCAGAGCTGTGAGGGGAAATGAGTATGACAGGTGTAGTTCAGTTCTGCCCATCGGGAATTGATAATGGACTCTTAAAGGCTGGTATTACTGGATATCAGCAAACTCCACTACAGAGTGGACTGGGTCTGCTGGCACTGAAGAATTTTGATAATGGCTAAGTGTCAAGGGGTGTGATGTTGCCATCTGTAAAAGCTGTTGCCACTGAGTCCTAATTCATAAGTCTGTTTCATTTCTTTTGTAATTTCTTATAAAGAGATAAGCATGATTCCCTCCCATTGTTTAATGAGTTTTAAAAATGTTCTTATAGTAAAATTATTTAATTGTCGTTTTGTAATCGTGGCTGCAACCAACAGATAACTATATTTGTTATTTTGCTGTGAATGTCTAGACTGCCTGTTCCAGGGACAGCAGTTTCATTTGCTTTACTAATGTTTATGATTAGATTTTACTGTTTTACTGTAAGCTTCTTTCTCCTTGCATTTCAATGCCCTTGTAGTCTGAGCAAGCGACTCTAGGTCTCCTTGTTTGTTGTTTTCAGTTATTAAAATCAGGACTGTCTCAGAAATGGATGTATTTCTACTGAACCAGATTGCTCAAATAACAAAACTGACTGCAGACTGTCTTTTCTATGTTAAGACCTCCCTTGTCAAAGCAGAAGGGGCCTCTGGAACCCAAACAGAAATTGAAAAAAGGAGTTAAACTTAAGTACTTAAATCTCCTACGAGCGGTTTCAGCTTTAATTTTAAATCTTGGATAGGCATAAAATATCAAGGAATTTTGCATGTGTTTCTAACCAGGAATTAGGAGGGGAATCTTTTCAAGCAGCTGAACGCTCAAGCGCCAAAAACTTTTTGACTGGATGAGTCTGTTTGCACAAAGTCTGAGACAGAGGATTGGGAATGAATTACCGAGAGGAGTGCTTTCCAGAATGTTCCCCTGGACTTTTGACTACTCTGAAGCTTCCCTTTGCCTCACATGTGCTTCTCTGTTCTTCCCAGTCACCGCCCTTCTGACTTGCTTCTTTGTTGATTGGCTGGTGGTGTTGCTATTGGAGAGGCCAGGAGCTGTCTGCCAGCCTGTCTGTTGTAGCCTTCATATACACTGCAGTTTCACCTCACTGATCTCACCTCCTACCACTGTTTCCTTAAAATGTTTCCCAGATGTGTCCTGATATGGTATAAAAAACAGAGGGAACGATAGAGGGGGAATAAAGACAGTGAAATGAAGTCCAGATTTGTACTGTTTTTTGCTGCTCTGCAATAGGGACGCGAGCACATCAACCTTTAATAACCCCTGCTGAATTTGTTCCAGAGCCTCTATGCCTGCAAGATACAGAACAAAACATACTAACCTCAGATTTTGCCTGATTTTATAAGCACAATGTAGCTGTGTGTCACAGGGAAAAATCGTCACAAAGCTATGACAGATCTTTAAAGCCATAAATTTATGCAATGTGACCTTTTCTGTTTTTTTCTTACTTTTTTGCATTTGGGCCATTTTTCCTCATCTGCTCTAGTTATGCATGGAGGTGTGCCAGTCTGACTTGCTGATCAAGTTTCTGCGATTGAAAGACAAAAGCATATGGTGCAGGATGAAAATGACTTGCTTCAAGTGATTCGTTAAACTGGATTTTGTGTCATTGTGGTGAAATTTTCTAGGATTCTATTGGGAGCGTTTAATAAACCAGTCTCTTCCCCTCCCACACTTACAGTACAGCTGCACCAATATCCTTTTCAGATTATTGTACTTCCAAGGAAAAGACCACAGTTTGACTGCAAATCTGTTGCACATTTTCCAGACCAGCCCCTCAAGGTATCAGTTTAACATGTTGCCTTGCAAACGTATTCACTCCCTACCTTTCATCCATTGATTTTCTAACTGCTTCTTAAAATTCTGCCTATAATAGCAAGCAACAGGCACAAAGCAGGATACACTATGGATCGGACATCTATCTTAGGAGAGACAGACACAGACATGCACTCACACCAGGGTTTTCCCAGAAGCCAGTTAACCTACTAGAATGTTTTTTGAACACCCAGAGAAAACCCACATAACCGCTGTGCCACTATGCAACCCTTGAACACTGAAATATATGAAATCAAATTCACCTTTCAGCAGGACAGTGACCCAAGCTATGCTGGAGTGGCCCAACAAAAAGAATGTGGATGTCCTGGAGAGGTCCAGTCAAAGTCCTCATTTGAATCCTGTATTAAATCTGGGATAACCCAACTTTATAGAGCTTGAGCAATTTTGCAAAGAAGAGTGGGCAAAAATCCCACCCTCCCAGTGTGCAAAGTTGTTAGAGACTTATCCTGCTGCCAGTGGTGCTTTCTTCATCATTCTGTGGAGAAATGCTCTGTCAGAACTCTTATGGCTGTTTGTCCCTTCGTGCCCTGGCAGATAATGGAGGACAGACCCTGTGTGGGGGAAACAACTGGCCCCTGCGGGGAAGGAAGTGGTCCCTGTGGGAAGGCGGGGTGCGCGGCGTGGGCTTCGTCACCAGCCCTCTCCTGAAGCGCAGTGGTGTCGTGAGCAGGGAGCTTATCCACATCTCGGACTGGCTGCCCACTCTTGTTGGCCTGGCTGGGGGTTCCACCAACGGCACCAAACCCCTGGACGGCTTTGATGTCTGGAAGAGCATCAGGTGACTCCTCTCTGTTGTCTGGCTTTGCCTCACTGCACTGGGAATGAAATTCCAGAAGTTTCTATTAGGCCCTGGACAACCTGTCTTTCAAAACAGCCTCTACAGTACAAAAAAGAAAGGCTTCCAGTAGAAACTTGTGCTGCATTTTATTAATTTTATTCATGGGCTGCTGTTTGTGCTCTGCTCGGTCTTTTTAATGAAGAAATGCTGTAGCTCACACTGATAGTATTTACAAAAATAACTCATTTTGAAGCACTTAAAAACTCAGGATTTGGGGCTATAGACGAAAAACTTTGAATACACAAGCACAAAATTCTTATTATCCGTCTCCTTCTCCCTGACAAATGGGATATAATTTTTTTGGGTGGAATTTACAAAGTAAAACTCTGAGAATATGTGATAAGCATCTGTGTATGGATTAATTTAACATTCAGCTTCACACAGCTTCAAATTTACGTAATTTGCACAGAAGTCCAAAATCAAACACACAGAGGAATAGGAGCAGAAAGAGAAGACAAAAAGACAATTTCTTCCACTGAGTGAATTATGTTTTTTCATTAATGGTTATGATTAAGCAACATTTTAAAACTTCTGAAATTATATTAACTATTAATTGCCTTACACAAGTAGCAGATGATTAAAAAATACAGTGTGGCTTCAACCTGTGGGCTTTCCTTCGTGCTTCATTCCAGAATTTTGACACAACCACTCCCTTGCTGTGTTGATCCTACTGATGAAAATAATTAAGGAGCTGGCTGTATCAGAATTCTGGAATAGAACAGATAGGAAGGCCTACGTGTAGCCTGATTTATACTTTCATCTTGTGTAAGAGCTATTTCCAGATTTAAAACAAAAATTGTGTTTTCAGCACTCAGTTGCTCCTTAAGGGGAGAGTTGTGAAACAAACACACATCCAAAAGATAAAAGAGCACCCTGTAAATCTCTGTGATGTCACTAGTTAAGCAGTCATTAAAGGAAAGGCCTGCTATATGCCCTATTGCTTTTACCATTGCTGTGCTGTAAGGTAACCAGGGGCCTTGGGACTAGTGCCAAGGTCACAGGCACACACTGTAAGGTATGTGTCTTTGTTGATATTTTCTGGATACAGTTACCAAATTTATGTCTTCAAGGATACTGCCGATTGCTTTCATCTCCTGCCCATGTATTGTCAGAGGCAGAACCATATTGAAGTGCACACTTCCCTATCAAAATATTCCATACTGCATGTAAACAACTATGACATGCTTGTCTCCTGACTTCACTCGCATTTGAATTGGATTTGGGGTTTCCAGAGCCCTTTTCTGCTCGTGGAAGGGCAATTTTCTCCCCTTGTTTTCAGAGAGACATTTGCTTATCTCTTGACTGATGTTTCCTTTCCAAAGGGCAGATTGGCACCCACACTGTGCACAGACACAGACAGATTCTTTAGAGCACATTAATGATATGGAAACATTTATCCTTGTTTTATATTCCCCACTGTTCCAATTTCTTACTCTTTGTAGCTCTTTGTAGAGCCCCCTCAGTCAATGGGTCTTTTGTGTGCCTGCGGGACTGGTGATCTGTCAAAGAGGAGGAAATTCCACAAGTCTCTCTCACACTGGTTTTCTCCAGCACAGCCACCATCCAGAAAAGATCTAGGTTTTGCTTTATCAGTTGTATTTTTTTTAAATAACTTGACACTCCCTGGTTATAAAAGCTTCCTGTGTAACCACTTGCAGTGACCCTACCATGGCTATTGCCTCTTCAGATTGAGTCTGTCTGCTGTCTACCTGACAATCATTACTCTTAAACATAATAACATTTATATAGTTGAACAGTTATTTATATAATTGGGGAAAAGAGGGCACTGATCATCAAAGTATTTTTTTAATTTCAGTTGATGGTATTGATAGAGCAAAAATAGTATAATAGATTGTGCAGTAAGCTGTAAATAGAATTAAGGGTATAATTTTTTCTCAGACATCTCTTTAATCTAACTAAATGAACATGTAGAATGAACTAAGGTGAATTGCTATTAATATATCTCTCTAGAACCTTGAGTCTTCATAAGTCCATATGTCTTCTGGTATTCATTCTACCATGGACCCTTAATGACCTGAATACAATCAGTTGTTCACTTCATTGGTCTGTATCACCACCAGGTCTTCAGATACTAGATTTAAAATTACCCATTCTGCCAGGTGGACAGTAGCCCTCTAGGATCAGGAGTAAATACTACTGCTCCAGCTCAGTGTTTCCTAGTCCTATAGAACACGCATTGGATCAGATTTTCGGTCCGAACTCCAGCATACAGTATTTAAGCTTTTTGAATCCTTTAATGAAGGAATGTAATCAATGAGTCAAGACTGTATGGCAATGTTAAAACTTCGTGGAAATAGAATTCTATTTGCAACGTTTATTTGAAATATACATAAAATAGATGATGATGATGATGATTATTATTATTATTTTTATTATTATTACTACTACTACTATATTGACTGACATCTTCAGGGGGATTTTCTCAGGTTATTTAATATTATATGACAGCAATTGCCTGATATTTTTTGGGTAATCATCAGAATAATATCAGAACATAAAAGAAAATACAATGTAAAACGTTCACATTAGATTTAGGTTTATGTTTTTTCTCTGAAACTTAATGTTCTGAAGTAAGAAATCTGTAAAATGCCATTTTGGACTGAATATTTTTTTTACCAACAGATTTAAAAAATGAATCTGTTTCTGGACAGTTTTGCATTTTTTGTGCTTCAAAACAGCATTAAAATATTATTAGGACATTATAAAGTTATGATTTCTGAAGCCTGGAATTTTACTTGTGTTCACTTTTTTTTTCTCAACTGCTGTTAATGGAAACAAACAAATAAAATAACTCAATAATAAACATAACAGCTGAAGAGAGTGTTTATAAAACAAAGGCACTTCAGTCATTCTAACTTGTAAAGGAAAACAAGAAAATTGTGTAAAAATAGATTTCCTTGTCCTGTTTTGTAACTACAGGCTGTGTTTTATGTGTGAGTGTTAGACATAATTTATGGATTGTTTATTAGATGGATAAGAGGCAAATATACATACACTTTGGTTCCCAGTGTCTGTGCTGTAAATAATAGGCTGTTTATTCTGAAAGCAATTCAGAAACCTTCAGAAACTCTGCCACTATATTTAATGTTCTCTACAGTATTTATCTTAGTATTACCTAGACCTAAACAGATGGAAGGATTTGTGTAGATTACCATGGAAACTAGATATTCTGACTCATCGAAGGAAACAGGCCTCTGCAGGCCAGGAGATCCTTAAAGCTGTGCACAAGATTTTTTTAAAATCTTTTCACATTACATTGTGGTGTATTAAAGTCCTACTTGTCTCCTGTAATTGATGACCATTAACCCCTGAACAATTAGTAAAATTCATTTTTCTATATTGCATATCCTTCAGGAATCCAGATGTTTTAATGCATCATTTGCACCCAATGCATGGATTTCAGAAATGTAATGTAATACAGGCGACCAAATCAAAAACATGGTCTCCGTTTTCTCTTTTTCTATGGTCTCCAGAAGGGGGATGATTGTCATGGATTGGTTTGTTTTGGTTCTAACCCTCTTCCTCGGCAAGAGGTTAGAAGTCTTAATAGCAGTGTTTTTAAACTTCAGAATTCAAGATAAGTGTAGTTTTTGTGTTCAAGTTAAGCCAGGCGTGGTATTGAAATTACTCACAGTGCTAGGAAAATAAGCATCAGATCACTAACACAGTTTGTGAGCAATGTACTTAATATACTGTAGAAAATATTTGCTATGAAATTGAGTTTTAGAAATATAAATGATAAAGTAATAAAACCAAGGAAATGGTTCTTCCTATAACCTTTTCCTGTTTAGTGCATTATGCTTTTATGGCATGGCCTTGTTCTGCGGATTTTGTCCACATAACAAAGTTTCCACTCTGTCAACAAGTGTGTTCCAAGCCCAATGGATATCCTATTCATTCAGAATTAGTCGGAAGAGGGATTTTTCAGGCCCTAACTAACTTTGTTTGGGTGCTTCCTGCAAATGTGGCTAGCTGTTTTTTGGCCAGGGACTCTATAAATAAATGAATATTGTTTTAGGGGCCTCCATTAAAGTTTCCTTTGTATTGCAGGAGATAACAGAGGAAGTCTGAAAATAGTGCACCAAACACTTGCTTTGGTGATTGTCAGAAGGAAGCTAAAATGTGTTAATTACTACTCTGCTCCTGTATTTCAGTGAAGGAAGACCATCCCCTAGAGTGGAGTTGCTGCATAACATTGACCCTCTGTATGTGGACATTGCATCATGTGAGTAGGCACAGCAGGAAGGATCCTTCTGTAGCATTTTGATGCAAAAATTTAAAAGTTAAAAAAAACAGTTATCATAAGCATGATCAATCTATGTTAAACCTATTAATAATGTAGGAGTAGCAGTTGACCTCCATAAATGCTTTGTCACAGATACAGATAAGCCACAGAGCCAACACCATCTAAATTCATACTTGTACAGTGCAGATCTGGGCTGCTGTCTACATTATTGTGCATAGAAAATTCAACAGATCTCCAAAATATAACACTTTTAGGGTCTTGCATATGGCTTCTTTTCAGGATAGCTTCTGCTTGTATATGATAGTTCTGCACCTCGTTTTCACAGTAAACATGTCAATCTCATAAGGTTTTCTAATTGTTTCTGCTTACATTTCTAAAATTTTAGCATCTTACATTAAATATGGTATTGCTTTTTGTCACTTCACAGGTACTGTAGTTTACCAAAATCGTCCAAACTTGATGCAATATTAATTAGTCGACATTCCATATCAAATTCTGCAATACTAACTAAAATACAGGTGGGACTTACTTTCAAAGATGTTACTGTTTCAATCACTCCTCAAATCTAAGCAAGGCTATAAGGTATTTTATAGGTAATCTTATAGGGTAGCTATCAATATACTGTACATTCTTTCTAGTAAGCCCGTAAGGCTTTCAATGTTAGCTCCTGTACGTCCCTTTACAACATACTGCATAGACCTTTGCAAAATAAGAAACTTTTTATGTCAAAGATTTAAGAAGAACTTTTATGCCCATCCACATTTTTAGTCCTTTGAAAAGCTTGAGCTTTTGGTAGTATTAAGAAATCATTTCCTGATTTTCTGTTTAATACATTGAGGCTGGATTAGGTCAACAAGCCAGACTGCAGCCAGAAGTTTAATATTTCCTGGTTGTTTGGCTCAATGTTAGATGATGTCAGACTCAGCAGTTTCCAAATGTTACACCATAAAATGGAACTTCCCAAGCTTCTTGTTCATTCCTTGAGCTAAGATAGGCTCTGATTCATTTGTTTAAGTAGGACAACTTTACCATTTGATAGGTAAGGTAAGGCAGGTAGCTTTTCTTGTCTATGTTACTTATATTATCTCATAAACTTATGCCTTGAGTTACAGTATGTAATGTGGATCAGCTATAGAATGTGTTTTATTTTAATAAAGTTTTATTACAACAATTCTGTTTATATATACAGTACATGTCACAGTGGTGGCACAGTGGTTAGCACTGGTGCCTCGATTTAATTGTGGACATGGAGTTCTATCTATGTGGAGTTTGTATGTTCTCCCTGTGTTTACACGGGTTTCCTCCCACAGTCCAAAGATATACTGGTACTGTAGGTCAATTGGCTTCTGGAAAAACTGGTCCTTGTGTGAGTCAGTGTTTGTGTCTGTGTCTGCCCTGCAGTAGACTGCTGTCCCATCCAGAGGTGTAATGCAGCTCGCGCCAGATGCTTGCTGGCTAATGTCATTTGAAAATGGATGGACAGATATTTCAAGTTTCATGTATTGCTTGTACTGTATAGATTTCTGTGGCACAGATCCAAGATCAATAAGAATCATTATTAGTTCAGGTGGGTAGCTGCGTCAGCATGCATAGCCTGCAAAGGAACACAGGTGCTCACACCTGAAGAAGGCTCCATGCCTGAAACGTTGTGTTTTCTTTCTTCTTTTTTCAGCATGGAATAAACCTATTACTTGTTCCTTTGCAGAATCATTACTAGTTCGGTGAATACAGAGCATCTTCAATATTGTCTAGACCTTGAATACTGATCTGGCCCAGTGATTATAGAAGCAATAGTAATAAGAGGAACAGAGGAAAGAGTGATCCACAGAGAAAGAAGAAGAACAGAAAAGGGTAAATCAATGGATTGACAGTGGCTGGGTTGAAGGTGATAAGAGTGCATCCAGGGAGGCAGATAGATGGAAGAGACATCCGTTTCAGTGCAAAGAAAAGAGGGGAAGATTTGAGCATAAACAAATTGATCAAGATGGCCCAGGGAGCAGAGGGAAAGAGAAACTAGTAGTGGACCCAGGAAAGAACCTTTAGGAAGTGGGACCACTAGAGGACAAAGCAAGCTACAGTACACAAGAAGACCTGGGATGTGTGCTTGGGGAGGCAGAGGCAGAACCAGGTGGGTGCAAGGCCAGACATTCAAGTGTAGACAGGAAGATTAAAGGACTCACAATGTCAACGGCTGCAGGGAAATCTAAAAGAAGGATTCAGACAGAGGAGAGGGGAAACTGCACAAACCGAGTGAAGAGAATCCATAACAGAAAGCATCCTACTAAACCAGCAGTCCCATTTGTCAGCAGGAAAAGATCACTTAAATAGCAAATGATTCAAGATCTGAAAATAATTGAAGTTCAGCAGTAAAGGCAATTCAAAGGAAAATTGAAAGGGCTAGAGTGGAAATGGAAGGCAAATGATAAGTCAAACATCCCAAATACCAAGCAATTTAAGGAACCCTTAATTTCTGACTAAGATAGACAAGCCTGCTATGGGGTTTGATGATGTTTAGATTCCTCACAGGGTTCAGAATTACATTTTTCTTCTTAATCCTTTCAAATCCCACTTTAATTTGGGGATGAGAGGGCAAGTTGAACACTTGGTCAAAAAATGAGCAAAGGTCAGAGTTTGAAAGGGTTTTGAACAAAAGCGTATTAGTTCACGGTAGGAGCTTGGCTGAACCCTTTCTCTGTAAGAATAATCAAATGCCCAAGAGAGCAGAATAGGTCAACATGGTCATGTTTTTACAATGTTTAGGTTCTGTGCAAATGCTGTTGTGCCTCTTGAACAAAGACCACACACCTTACTGTGACACTGTTGTCCCTAAGTACTTCATAAGTTCAGACATTCTCTAGAATGAGCTGTATAAAGGAAACAGAAACTAATATTCAGAATGCATCTTAATTTCTTGTCTTCATAACACTGGGCTAAAAATGGTATGTCCATGATGTCCTGTGGTACTACGCTTAGTGTCCAGGTAACAACTTTACCTGGTTGTTTAGAAACATTCATTTGTGAACTGAGAATTTTAAGACAGTAATCATCTACTTTTTAAGTATTGACCAAACTCTGATGTCCTGTGTCTTTGAATATGGGTAACAGGAGAATATCAAAATAATATTTCCTTCATAACTTACTTAAAACAACATATTTTATGCTGAAAGACATTACTTAAAATAGAAAGGAAAGTTCCAAAGATGCAGAATAATAATAATACCTTTTAACTTAGGGAAAAATCTTCTTTTTTTGATGACATAGAAAATGCGTATGTACATCATCTATGCAGATCCTGGTTTTGTGGTAGTAAGTAGCCATGGTGCACTGTCAATTTCTTTATTTAACTACATGTAATGTCTTCATATTAAAGGTGATATTAATTCAAGTGATCTCATTTTAAAAGAATCTCTTTCCAAGCCTTTGACAGTAAACTATGTCATTAAATCAATTCCTATTATTGTAGTAATAATTCGATTGACATTGGACAATCAATTGAAAGTCACTTTAAAAATAGAAAAATGTTGTCTATCAATTTATTGACATACTGGAGGAAGGGGTATCCATGCAAGTTTAAAATGCATTGACTCTCTGAGGCAATAGACTGTGAGTCAGAATAATAGAAGTTTATAAATCTTATTTTATATGCAGAATCTTAAAAAGCTGTGAATGATGGGGGGAAAGTAATTAAAAATGAAGCTTTCAAGACGATCTTCAAATAAAACATATCCCTTCCGCTGAGAAGGCTGTTCTGTTACATTAGCCGAGTACTTTTTACTTTAAGTACTGTTGGGAAGTGTCCAAATCGCCAGTCAGTGCAATTGCACATCGTTGATGAGAAACACAGTGTGATGCAGAGCAATCATCTGTTATAACGCAGGAGACAGAAGAATAATGCAGTTGCTGTCTGTGTGCTGGCAGAATGAGCCGAAAAGTCTGAGTCACAATTCCCCTGAGTGAGGGCCTGCTGATTACAGAGTCACTGTTAGCCCTGTGATTACAATATGCTCAATGGTCTAGGCTTGCTAATGAAAATGCTCAAAAGAAAGAGAGAGAAAAGGTTTCCGTTCCCTGCTGTGTTTATAGAACTGTGTTTATTAGAGTGCCAGTTTCTGACTGGAGGTTCAGTGAATCCTCTCTGTGGCTTTTACAAGCTTCTAATTATTCAACAATTGGGAAGGCATGTGAAGCAGTTTCACTCAATTTGTAGTGACAAGTATTTACACCTGAATGGCAATTCAGCATTACAGTTTTTGCCCAGACAATGCATTTTCGATTATTTGAGCTGTAATCATTTTTAAGGGAAACATCATACAGCATTTGTTGTATGGAATGTCTGTGACAAGGGTGGCTGTTTTTAGTAACTTTTCCCCCCAAAAAATGCACTCTCCACAGATTAGAAATACTGTTTACAGTAGGTAACCCCACCTTTAACAAAATCCATGTGCTATTGGATTTACTTCCACTGTGACAGAACTTACTTGCCATTAGGATCTTGTAATATTTTTCAAAATGCTGTGGCAACAGAAAACAATCATCAGGAAGTGTCTGCAGAGTATTTCATAAAAACCTGAGTTTGTTTGTAAGAGTGTCCGGTTATGTACATTCATTTCACATGAAAAAAACAATTCTTAATTAAAAAATAGGCAAAAAATCCTTAAATGTTTTTTTGTAAAGTAAATCACTCTTTTTTTAAGTTCACTTTTGTTCTCTCATAGCTATACACCTTGGCTTTTATCAACTAAATGCTCAGTATTATTTGCACCCATAAAGAGTGCTGATGAAATTGTAGAGTTTGATATGAAAATATAGGTAGCTTATTTCATGTTCAGAATCATTAATGTGTTAGAAAGTAGTCTGAGTAGTGTAACAATCAAAGAACGTATGGCATAGATGACTAATTTCTCCATAATTTCCTGTTTTCTCAAACTGCAAATGATCAAACAATGCTTAGCTATGTTGATGAACATATCATAAAACCT